CAAAACGTTATTTTAACGATTTTTCAAATTAAATTTTATTAAAATGATAAAATATTTTTATGTGATCCAATCACATCCTAAACAAAGATTTGTGGCGACTCCATCGAACCACATTTTTTATTTTAAAAAGGAAAACCCAATTTTAGTCAAAACGAACCATAAAATTATTTTTCGATTCTTTCGATTCCATTCTCAATACTATATGAAAGAAGTTGCAAAATTAGAAGCATTTCCTCAAAGTCCTCCGCGAGATAAACCCATGATTCCATGATTAATGCATGTAAAAAAATGCTTCAATGAATGCCATGCAGAATGCGAATATGCAAATACAAATGTAAAAAAATGTGAAAATGTTTAAATAAATGCAGTGCAGAATGTAAATGCAAAAGGTATCGATTTCCAAAAGTAACCGTTCTTAGAAAAAGTTCCATTTATCCAAAAGAGTTTTCATTTTTACAAGAGAGATCAATCTACGAATGTGTTTTGTGATACGTAATCCCAGGCAAACTACCAAGCTCAGACCGTCGGATTGTGTTCTTCCTTGTTATGAAAGCTCTTTTCCATTTTAATGGTCACTCTTCTACTATGATGATTACTTGGTTAATCAACACATTTCTTTTATTTATGATGATCATACAATGTCAAACAATAAAAAAAATCAAACATAGAAAATGTGTTTGTATAAAAGAATTCAAATATCAAGCAAATAAAATAATGCAAGTAAAGAGAAGAGATTTAGAGTCGTTTCTCCTTTGTGTACACTTATATTGGATACCTACCGACGGACAGAGGTTCGGTATGAATTTTATCGGGGTGGGTTACTAGGACTCACTATATGCTGTGTTGGGTTCTAAGAAAAAGGATACTCGAATTGTCCATGTTGGTGCCTCCTTAGGTTGCCAAACCCTCAACCCTAGCCTATTACAGGCTCGTGCGGATCGAGTTCAATTCGATAGGATACATTCCCTTATGTCCATGTGGAGAAACAATTTATCTCACGTAGACATAAGGTATATGAACCCCAAATGCTACTTGCTAAAACCCGTGCAAAGAAACAATTTATCTCACGTAGGCTAAGCTTTCACCTTAACTTAAAAAGGGACAAAGCTCGTAAGTGAGCTTGTGATATGTAAATGCACACGTTGTGTTTGAGGAGAAACTAACAAACCTTTAAAACAAGACAAAAAAACAACACTCATATTTTCCAAAATCTATTCAAATCTGAAAACCACTAACATCAAAAATCAATTAATTAAAAAATAAAATAATGCATAATATGTTGAAACTCAAAATAAATAAAAGGATCGTAAATTAAATACAATTTAATTTTATAATTCTCAATATAAAACAACGTATAATCGTTTATGGCCTGACTGTCGAGTTCCCTAGTAAAGTCACCAAGCTGTCATAAAGTCTCCCCGAGGGAGTCCGTTAGACTTAAAAAATTAAATTCAGGGGGAAGGTGATGAAATATGATTTGTAAAACAGTTTGATTTTGGAGTCGCCACCAACCTTTAAGTTAGGGAGGTTGGAAACCTTAAAAGAAGAAAAATGGTCTGCGCTTTACCAAAAATTCATTTTAAGAGTTTTGGAGTCGATTACGTATGGGGAAGGGTGAACACCCCATAACGCCCAAATTTGGTACCTGCGATTATATGTTGTTTAAATATTGGGAATTACAAACTTCAAAAATATATTTAAATTACGATCTTGTTATTCATTCGAATTTATTCAAGAAGTGTCAATTTTCGGACAATTAACGACCTTTTGTGTGAATAATCTTCGAGAAAGCACTTCCTTTACAGCTAGGAGACTATCCCATATATTCCCCTCACAAAAGATATTATTTCATATTTTTCAAAGAATAAAATAAGTAAAAATAAAACACAAATAAAAATGAAAAAAATGAGAAAATAACCAAAAATTAATAAACGGAAAGATAAAAAAAAATACTGAATAAAAAACATTTGTACGAAAAATCTTCGAAAAGATACTTTCCCTTGTATTTGGGAGATATCTTTGTAGATTTCTCTTACAATAAAATTTCCTCATTTTTGTATATAGAAAAACATGGTGATAAAAAATAAGGTAGAATTAATAATACTAATGTGTACAAAAATAAGTGTCCAAATATGCAAAAACAACAAATTTGAAGCTATAATAATAATATAATAAATCATAGCTTATGTACAAATATTACTTAATATGAGTATTAAAACCGAAATAAAACCCAAAGCAGTATGCATGACCAAAATGAAAAGATATAAAATATTAGGCCAACAATAGTAATTTAAACAAAAACACCATAATAATAAATAAATAAGGAATGGAATGAGATACATAAAATATGCATTGCTTAAATACAAATATACTAAAACAGTATGACCAAACTGGGATAATACCATAAAAAATTTAAAACAAACCATTACGAAATTGCAATGTTAAACAAGCTAGGAACTCAAAGTAAAAAGAATTTAAAGTTTCATTCATTAGTGAAAACAAAAGGTTTACAAACTAAAGGGACCAAATATGATATTAACCCCTAAAACCCAAAACACGCAGAGATTACAAAGCTACAAGGAACATCCCAGCAATTAACCCCAAACCCGAACACACTGAATCCTCTCCCCACAAATGACGTCGTTTCAAGGACCCTATATATGACTAAAAACAAGGCCATAACCGCCCACTCTCCTCACTTCTTTCATTTTTTTAACCCTAAATAATAGCCAAAAGCTCTTCCCCCTTTTATCTTCTTTCACTGCCAGGAAAAAAAAAGAGGGCCACAACCGTCGTGTGCGACACCGAAAATGGAGGCCAAAGCTACTCCTCACACCCCTGGACTCTCGGTCACTCTTTTCTCACTCGAACCAACCTAACAACACATTTTAGAAACCCAAATCAGGGCTCTCCTTTGCCCCAAGAACCGAACCCAAAATAAAAATTACCTTCGGTAATGAGGTAATAGTGCTTCGGTGAGGCCAACGAAGGGCTAGATCTGGCTAAAGGCATGTCTCATTCTCTCTTTTTTTGGGTTTATGGTTTAAATCTTTCTCATTTTTTAACCCTCACCGAATCTCCTCTCTGGTTGCTGCCCTTTTTTTATGTTGCATGTGATTTTATGGATTACTTTTGAGCGAGTTATGATGAGATATCTATCATAGGGGAATGATTCTCTAACTGGGGTTTGGTAAAATCCCAATTTTTCAGGATTTATAGTGTTTAAAAATAGGGTTTCTGACTTGGCAGCTATTCTCTCTGATTTGGGTGATAATTTGCACTGTGGGTGACGATTCAATCGTTGCTTGGCAGGTTTTGGTGACGACAGTCGGTTCGGGAGTGTCGGTGGTGGCTCACGCGCCGATTGGTTAGATGAAGAGGTGGCATGTGCATCTCACGCGCCGGCGGACTACTTAGATTCTGCCCTGAGCGATGGCGGCTGATGATGATAATGTTTTGGGTTTAAACCCTAATTAATCTAGGTTGAAGATTGGTCCGGTTCGGGTCCTCTTCGGGTCGGGTTGGATCAGCTGTTGGGTCAGATCCTAGGTTTTAGTTTGGGTCTTGGGCTGATACCGGGTCGGGTGGTGGGTCTTGAGTGCTGGGTTGTCTGCTTGTAGTTGGGCTCCTGATTATATTGGGCCTTTAAAAATTGTAATATGTAAATTAATAATAATAATAAAAACGAGAACCCGTGTCTACACCTTTAGTTAGTTCCTCATCATGTATATCTTTCAATCAAGCAGTTGCATTTCCTGAACTTTGAGGATATCCTAGCACAGCAAATTTGCAATCTTATGCCTTTTCTCTCGTCTTGCCGTCTCTTGTCTTAGTCTCTTAGATTGAAGTAAGCAAGTTATGGCCATTTTATGAGCTAATTATCGTGCATTTCATATAGATATATGGCCCATTGTATTATGATTTTGTTTTCCTTTTTTCCAAGTTATATTATACGTTTAAACCATGCTTTGTGATAATTCCAGCAAACATAGAGTACATATAGTTATTTGTTCAGACACAGCTCAAGTGTTGAACAAAGTTACATACATCCGGTGCCAGGGATGGACCGAGGGGAGCGTAGGGGAGCGGATACGGACAGTTTCCCCTTAAAAAATTTATATATTTTCTATGTATTTTTAATTGAAAATCTATTTTCTCATCTTCTAAAGTTTTATAAGTTTGTCATCCCTTAGAATTTTATAAATTCGTCTTTATAATATAAAATTAGAATTTTATAAATTCGATTTTATAATATAAAATTTTACGTCCGTCTCTATCTAGTATAAAACACCCTCAAAGATAAGTTGATCCTTAATGATTATGTTATTGGGGCCCTTATGCTATGCAACAATTAATTTACTATTAATTCAAGATGTTATTTTAACTTAAAATATTATTATGTTTAGCCTAAAAAATTAATATAAATCTATAATATTTTCGGTTGAAATCAAAAATATTCGATTGCGATTTCGATTAATGTAAAATGTTATCCTGTTTAACCTAAAAAAATTACACTTTTGAAAACATTTTCAATTACAACGGATTCTTGTCGTTTTTCAACTTTACTTTAAGAAATCGGTTTTTGCCGTACTTTTAACAAATTATATTTTGGATTTTTTTAAGTTATTGGTGCCCTGTTTTTCTTTATAATGCCTCACCATTTAGCAACTTGAGGAGAAGCCGAAAAGTTAGGAATATATTTTTGAATTATGTCAGAATACAATTGCTAAGATTTTCTAATGATCCTAAATTAGATTTATATAATACAATTAGTGGCTTTTAACAATGTAGTTTACGTGTACATGAGGAAATCACCCTTTACACAATATTGGCCTAGATAGCAACGGTTGCGGCTCTTATACGTATTACACCCCGAAATCATTAAAATCCAAAATAAAACCCAGGCAGAAAACCCATCGTCTCTCGCCTATTTATTCAACACTTTCTTTTAGTTTTTCCCCTTCACGCTTCTAAGCTAGCTCCTTAGGTCATCTTACCCTTCAAATCTCTTCAAAGCGGCCGTTTCCATGCATAGAAACCGATACGGTGGCAGCCATCCGAGTTTCATTTTGGTCGCCACCGCCACCACCATCCTCGCCTGAAATTTCTTCTAAAGATCGTCCTTTGGTTTCCGAGACCAGGAATGTGAAACAAAATCCCAACATATTTGTAAAGGCCAAAGCGACGATGGCAGCCTTGATTTTCTTAACATTCTCATCCAACGTATATGTTTGTACAACGAAAGCTCCGATCATGGCTCCGGCCTTCCCTGACGCCGCACTCAGCGCATGACAAGTGGACCGCACCCTGGTCGGGAACAGCTCCGCCGGCAGCACAAAGGTTGTACTGTTGGGGCCAAAGTTGGCGAAAAAGAACGTTAACCCATAAAGAAGAACGAACAGGAACTTATTATGATCCCTGAGATAATCGTATTTGACGCCAAGAATGAGCATGAAGATGGACATCATGAAGAATCCAACCAGTTGGATGACGAAACGACCGATCTTTTCTATGAAAAGTACAGTGAGCCAGTACCCTGGGAATGTACCAAGCAAAGCAACAACGAACATGGCACGCGAGGTCTCGAACACTTCTCTAATGGCGTTGATATCTGGAGCTTTATTGGTTAAACCAATGGCTGGGAATATGTCCTTTTGGGTTAGGTTTTGACTGTAGAAAGCAATATCCAACAAGAACCAAGTGCTCATTGTACCTGTTCACAATTTAAAACCCTAAATAATAAACCAACCAAAATCAATGTAAAATAAAATATAATAATACATAAATTTTAATATGATTCTACTTTGTTTACTTTTTACCTATGATAAAACTAATAATATATTATAAATATATAGATCATTAAGAGTATAATTATATGATTATTCTAAAATTTGATATCTATATTAAAATTTAACGTATTTTAAAACATTGTTCTAATATATTTACAAAATCATCTCTCCAACATAAATCCCACAAATTATATAATTTTTAAAGTGATTATATTTCTTTAAAATAATTTTTTTAATTCTAAAGGTTAACATATTCTCTATTTGTAAAGTTAAATATTTGACTTACCAATAAGTTTTATTTCTTAATATTTATTTACTAAAATAAATATTTATTTATTAAATAAATTTAAATATTAAATAGTCTTTAATAATTAAAATATATTAAAATCTGATTTAATTATCAGTTATAATTTGATTTAAAATATATCAATACCGATCAGATGATACCCATGGCGTCTAAAGAACTCGTGTGATAGTAATGTGTATTGGTTCGCCGCTTTGAATTGTGAAAGCTTATCTGACTCAACATCGAGTTCGATTTCGAGAACTCGACCCATATCGGCCGCCGCTTGTTTAGCATTCCCTTGAATAATTGCAGTGTAACGACCGGTTTCCGGCATCTTCATCCGCCAATAATATGTTAAAAGAGCCGGTAAAGAACCAAACATGAGCACAATCCGCCATAGATAATCAGCTTCCGGTTGTGTAGAGAATACATGATCATCTTTAAAACTGGGTGCGGGATAAATTTCAAGGAAGATACCCGAAAGAATCATGGAAACCAAGCCGGCAAATATAATCCCAACGCCTTGCATGGCGAAAACCGCCGCAATAAACGCCCCACGAGTCTTTTTGTTAGCGTATTCCGACATGATTGTGGCGGAAAGAGGATAGTCGCCGCCAATGCCAAAACCAAGCCAAAATCTGAAGAAGCAAAGGGTTCCGATCACAGAACCGGAGGTGGACCCAAACGACAGGCCTGAACAAATGGCGCAAATTGCCATGAGGATGAGAGTGATCCCATACACTTTCTTGCGGCCAAGTTTGTCACCGAGCCAACCAAACACAAGCTGGCCGCTGAGAGTTCCGAATAAGGCTACACCGGTGACCAAGTTGTTGATGCCGTGGGGGAGATTTCCCGGCTTGCCGGAAGTAGGATCATAGTAGTAGAGGCGGCCCAAGAGTTTGGACACGGTTGTGATGCAGAAGAGATCATAAGCATCTGTGAAGAAACCCATACCGGCGATCACGATAGCTTTCACATGGTACCATTGAGTCCGGGCAGTGTCGAGAGCTTCTAGCACTGCTAGATTGTTGCCGGATGCCATTGTTTTGTCAGCTTAATTTCCTGATCTGATTGCTGATTGTGTGGCTCATTTTATATAGGAAACTGTGACATTGAAGGGATAAAACAACAACGCTACAAACGTTGATATCAAGGCTTTGGTGTTAGAACAAGAAATTCATGGAAATGGAGGATATTCTACTAGCTTACAACAAACAGCCACCTTAAAATCATCTTGAATCCGTGCCTTCGAGATTCGTAAATACACAACTATGCATATACAAAACGTTCTTTCATGCATTCCTATATCAATAATTTAACTTTAATTTGAGTTAACTTGCTTCACCTTGGAAAAAAGAAATAAAATATTATCACGGAATAATTTGAGTTACGAGAGTCTTAGGCGATTTACTTCTTTAGATGATTTGGATGAAAAATCATATAGTAATTTTAGGGAGAACGATGAATTAAAAATCACAGTATATCATATTCAAAGAGAGAAAGAATTTTTTCGATTTTTTATGAGCATAAAGTTATTATGACCACTAGTAGATTGATATGATAAATAGATATGTAAAGTTATTATGACTACTAATAGATTGACATGAAAATAGATATGATCACATGACAACACAATTAATTGTAGTAGATAATGTAAGCAGGTCATATAAAGGGATAGGCTGATTAAAGGATTTAAGTCTAGATTATGATCAACGAAAGAATTCCTCTGGACGACATCGATAAACGAGAGGTGACGACAGAAACATGATTTGTGAAAAAAATGCTGAGGAAATACAACACTTATTCCCTATTATGTTATAATAATCATAAATAAATGTGGAGTATGTTATAATACATAAGAATTGTTTTTATGTTGATGAAAGCGGTGGAATATCTTTGTAATTTGCAGTCTGCTACCGAAAACGGAAGACATTCATGACAGTAACAGCTATTGCATGTAAAGGCAGTGTGTATTATAGACCTTAGATTGGTTTCTTCACACGATAGTGGAGGCTCTCTCTTTATCTTTTCCGCGTGTAAAAATCGGTGATTGTATGGACGGCATAAGCTTCATTCGTTATACAAAACCGTCTCATAAAGCATATTTTAAATGTTGTATAGTGAAAATAACTTGTAGATGACCAATTATTGTATTAACCGGAATGGTTTTTATTACACTTCAACCTAAACAATGAAATGACAGTCGGAATACATAGGACGTGAGGTCCATGTACAGAGCATTAGGAAACCGAAACCAAAACCAACAAACAAATCTGTCCTTTAATAATTAATGCACGTTGCCCTTAAAAGGCACATAGAGATTTCGAAATTAAAAAATTACCAATTAATCTACACATCAAATGCAAACCATATACATACATATATATATATAAGGGACCTTTACCCATGTTTGGGATTAACTGGAACTGCCTTGTCGTGGTGAAATCTAACCACAATGCATGTTATATTGTCGGCGCTCCCGCGTGTGAAAGCCGTTTCTGTCAACTTTCTGGCAGCTGTCTCAGGTTCTTCTTCTGCCCCGGCTAGCGAAACAGCGTCCTGATAACATAATTTTAGTTTACAACAAGCAAACACAAAAATCCCCTCAAGCATTGAAAGATCAACCAATCTACTAATCTAATATTGCCGGGACTCATTGTCAAATCAGTAAGCTCCTAGGAGCTGGTTGTCCCTTTTATTTTTCTTTCCTTGGAGTAAGTTCAAATGTCCCGAATAAGTACAGCTTTACCATTAGACGTTGCTCACAAATCGAAATGAAGACCAGGCACATGGTTGATATACGTTGACAGATACTTTAGAGAGAGGTTTACCTCATTAGGCACTACATCCCATAAACCATCACTAGCAAGCACAAGCAACTCAAACTCTTCATCTATCTCTGTATACTGAGAAATGAACATTAAGAAATACAAGTATCTCATTAGAAGATAAAAAACAACTTGAACACAAAACGATGAAAATAGGATGGAGCAAGGAAAAATAGAAGTGAAAATGAGGCAAAGTTATTTAACATTTATAGTCGAATTAAAAAGAACAAACAAGTACATTTTTACTTCATCATCTCATTCTAACACATCAGATTCTGACTTATGGTTGTGGTGAATTAAGAAGGATGGAAATAGGATGTTACAATTTTCAACGTTTTCATATCAGATGATGCTTTTTCCAAATGAGTCCATACTACCAAGGCCAAAGCAAGAAATTAATAGCAAAATTAAATAAAATGAGAGCAGTTACTAGCTTATTAGTATATGATTTTGAAGATCACCTGAATTTCGGGTTCTGCAACAACATATTGCTTCAACATGCGATCTCCAAAAGCTCGAGACATAGCTAATACACCTCCTACCCTCCAAGTTCCTAACAATATTATCAACAAGACATTTCAATATAAAATTTCAGGAGTCGGAACTTCCGATTTGAGTACCAGGTATAAATGAAAATATTTGTTCTGGCTTCAATAACACAAGCTAGATCTTTAAACAATTTTACCTGCCCACATAACAACCCCACCAGCATTTTCAATTCTCTTTCGTTCATCACTTCTATTAGGTTTATGATCTTCCGAGAGAGGGATAGCTTGAAAAGGTAAAAGAAGTTGCTTTTAGAAATCCTGCTTAAAAATTCAAACATCTCAAAATTCATCACCACATTAGCCACAGGTTAAACTAATAAAGCCACAAGTATCACATCATCTATAGTTGGTAAAGGAAGAAAAAAGAAAATTGTTCAGAATATGGGGCCTGGCCTTCTTCCCGTTTTACTGGGTTATTTCCTCAAGCAATATCATTGAACCATTCACATCAACTTCAAGTAAGACTAATAATATTTAAAGGCAAAATATGTTAATGCATGTAGCAGTGAACTTGAAAGTAACAAATTAATACTCAATATTTAAAAAAAAAAAAAGAGTATGGAGTACCTTCTCCAGCCTTGGATATTATAGTCCTTGAGTCTCCAACATTGGCAACATATAGATGGTTGCCAACCAACACTGCTGTTGAAGCAGTTGAACCATCATCTCGATAAGTATCTCTTTGAGTATCCAAGAAATCTACATCAGTCTGTGGATATGTTTCACCTAGAAGCATATCCAATAAAACCAAAATGAATAAAAGAGGATTAAAATGACTTGGTAATCATTTTATGTAGGATACAATCCTATCTCTCGCTTAAAACAAGAAAGATATATTAGAACTTGTAATGCATGGATCCTCTATAGAGGGCTGATAGCAAATGATATGCAACACTTTTTTCGGGTTTTTTTTGGGGCGTGTTTGTGTGAAAGGTAGGATATGCAACATTTTAAAATATTCCATAAATAGAGAATATCAAAGATGTCGAACACACTTATGGCAAGTTTGGTGTCGCTCATGAACTTTGGATGCTTCATTAGATTCTCAAAAAGATGTTGCTTCAAATACTCAGCAGCATGAGAACCACCATGCCCTGAAATTACACATAATACTGTTCAATTGGGGGGGGTGTAACAAAAAACTTCCATTTCAGGTATCAAAGGAAATCTTGTTCTCTAGAATCATTATTCATCATCTAAAAGCGCATAACCAGGATGGAAAATAGTATAAATAGCACAAAGACAACATTTTTTATTTCATAACCTTCCACAGGCAACAAATTAGAAGAGAATCTAACCATCAAATATTCCGAACATGCAGACCGTCTTCCCATTAATCTTGGAAGTTTTAATACCATAGAAATCTTCCATGGTTGCTCTCTTTCCCCTAAAACTTGAATAGCCATAGCTTAAGTTTCCATCTTCACTGTCAAAGCAAACAAGAAACCTACCATGTAAGAGTGATTTAAAATCCAATATTGGTTAATAGCATCACTTGTACAAAATTACAACAACAAAATTGAATCTCTTAAACATCTAAATCAACAAATAAAACAACAGTCATACATGAATATAGGCAATAACTTATATCCTCTGGACACAAGAAGGAAAGGATTGATGATTGTATGCAAAATGTAGAAATTCAGGTGAGAAGCATGGTCTATGTGAAGAACTTGAAGAGGAGAATACTTATGAGTTGTGAAAAAGGTGATTTTGGAAAGTAAAAGAAATTAAATAGAGAATACAATTGATATTAACAATGATATTACAAGTGTTGCAAGGAAACAAAAGTATTCTTTCTTCATATCACCCAGTAATTAGGTAACCACCGAGTGGATGTAAAGACAAACAGATGAAAAGAATGAACTAAAAGACCCTTTTTCACTTATTCCACTATGAGACCATGCACAAATTTACGAGACTGTACCAATATCAACACATGTACAATTGACATTGTTAAAATTCTCAGATTGCATAAATGATCGGTAGCTTATAGTACCAACAACAAAACGTCTAGCTTTCAATCATTAGGCAACACATTAATTGAACTAAACCATCAAAGAAATTATCAAATCAGAGTAAATAACTAAACCAGCATACAAACAAAAATCATTTTACAAATAAATCATGACGTTTTGTAATGTATATGATAAGAAAGAAAAACAACTATTTAGAACAAGTGAAAAAGGGTATCTACCTTTTCCAACCTCCACTAACATATCCGCCATCACCACCTTTCTCAGATATCTTATTAACAATGGGAACCTGTTCTGTTTTTGCGCCTGAATCAACCATCATCCTTGCACTCAACAAAAAGGTTAATTCAGCACAAGCATACGAACCCCTTACAGTACCTTATAAAAACACCCTTAATTTTCCTATATTCCCAGTTTGAAGAAGGAAAATGTTAATCAATTGATAGAACTTAAGGTGATATTTATTGAACGAAAATCATAATCAACACATTATTATTTCTTAAATTCAGTAAAAGTAATGTATTGAATGCAAAACTTCCCTGAAATGGTAACGAATATTTACACCCACGCAGAGACAAAACTAGAAATTTTATGTATACGGTCAAGTTAAATTATAAAATTTGGGGATTAAAGCTAAAAAATTTATTTTAAAATGGATTAAATTAATTACGTAGTTTAAAAATGCAACATTTTCATTTAGCTAAAGGACTAGGAGGCTTAAATTGAATTAATAATACTTGGAAGGGACTAAAAATGAAATTTGCCCATTTAACAAAGGGGCCAAGTCCCCTACCTGCCCCCTGGCTTCCTCTCTGAACCCACGAGCAAAGGTGGGTAACACAAATCAGCAAGATTACAAAATCAAAAACAACCATAGTGTTTTAATTAACAGGGAAATTTAATTTTTGTATGTACTGCTATCAGGGATTTAAATAGCATTCTGCTATCGAAATAGTGGTTCACTATATAGCGGTAAAAGTTCCGTCCAAAATAGTTATTTCATAATTGCGATACTTGCCATGACAGTAATAGCATACACTATTACCGCAATAGCGATAAGCATACAACTGAAAACGTGATTACAACTACAATTTAATTCCAACTGCTATTGTTCCCCTTTATACAAAAAGGACCACAAAATTATTTAACGCGTTTTTTTGTTCAGACAACCAAAACATAATTAACTCTTACAATTCAGTAGATTGAATAGCTTCAAACAAAAAATGAATCATTACACTTTCAATTTCAATATAATAATAATATATATTTAGATGAACTAATTTATTATTCAAAAGTAGACCTTGACCTGATACGATTACACAACATAACACATACATGATACAAACAAAAAAGGCAACTAAAACTCCACAGGAATATCTTAAAACTTATATCACACACACAAAAAAACTCACTGTATCAAAATCTATATAAATATATAAAAATATACGGTAATATATGAATACAACAGGAATACAGTTTGTCCATAAGCAGCAAGAATTAGCATTATTAAGGTGAGATTCCAAATATTAGATATACTTCGCCTCATTTCTAGAGTAAATAAATCATGCAACAGAGATTGAATACATATGAAGGAAAGACCGCGTTCTCGATTAAATTTAAACGAAACTGTAAATTAAGAAAAAATACCTCTCGTGGAAAAGTCCGGATAAAAGAACCGGATCCGATCGAGGGAAACGAACAGCAATTGCAGGGCCCAGGTCGGACGACGTGGAGGATCCGAAACTGAATGGAAATCGGCGGGAATCGACCGCGTCGTGCAGCGTTTTCTGTCGACAAAAAAGAAAAGTGATGGGAATGAGAAGGAAATGTGAAAGCCTATAGAGAGGAAAATGAAGAAGACGAGAGAGATTTGAAGGAAGCAGTAAGAGGTATTGTCGGTTGGCAACAGGGAGAAGGGGAAACGTGGCACTCTCCATGCATATCCAATTCTATTTTGGGAGGCTTCTCCTCTGCGCTTGCGCTTAGAATTTTCCATCTTTTTCTCTCAATATAGCTGTAAATAAGACGAGGCAGATCGCGAGATACTTGAGATTGATTTGATCAAGACTTGATAAAAATTTGGATCGAATGGACTCGACTCGAGTTCTTAACGAGTCGAAACGAACTACTCGATATTCGACTTGAAAAACTCGTAAATAATTCAAAAAAATATTCTATTATAATTTTATATTTTTTTAAAATTACATTATAAAAAATTTATTAAAAATACATTATTGATAATTATAAAATTTTAAAAATATATTAAAAATTCTATAATACAACTGCCTCAAATTTTAATTTTTTTTAATTAAGAGACCCAAGTCCAATTGTTATATTGTATATTACTAAAAGAAAAATAAAAACTCATTTAATTAAGCACATGTTAGATTATACCCTAAACCTTAAATTATAAGTCATTAACCCTAAACCCTTAATCTGATTATGTGATAGGATACTAAAAGAAAAATAAAATCTCATTTAATTAAACACATGTTAGATTACACCCTAAGTTTTAAATCCTAAACCCTAAACCCTTAATCCGATTATATGATAAGGGTTAAGTTATGCACATGAAGGTAACATACAAATTATGCAAAATGAAATTAATGAAATTAACAAGAGTTTATATGTAAATAAACTAATAAATCATACTTGGTCAAATCAATCAATAGGTTCATTATCAAAACAAACGGTGATCAAAACATAAAATAAAAATAAATTAACTCGAATCATAAAAACGTAAACCTTGATTAATGACAAAATTAGAAGATTACAAATATAACAGGCTGAATTAGAAGATTACCTCAAAGTCCCATCTCAGCCTGCAATGCCGCAAGTTCATCTTCATCAGCCGTGCACTTTTGAGGAATGGGACGAGCCGGTTGCCTGCCAGCAGGCACCTGCACCTGTGCTGCAGGAGCTGTTGTGGGTTGGAGAAGCTGTTCTTCCAACTCAACATCTTCGAGTTCTTCCAGTTCTGCCTCCAATTCATCCTACAACATCAAAAGTTTTCGACTCATTGCTCGATATGTATAAATGGTAGACATGATATATTTAAACATGGATACATAGTAGGAGATGATGAGAGAAGATGAGAGAATGCGACTAAAAGTAATAACCTCGTCAAAATCAGCTGCAGCTCCAATAGGGGTTGACAGTGCTTCTTGAATCTGTTTCATGTTTTCGGTTTGTTCGTTGATCTCGTCCATTGTTTTGTCGACATCATCTATGTTCTTGTAAAGATAGATATTTTCAGTAAAATAGTGTTTCATGAAGGTCCAAGAATAAGTACCAACAGCTAAATACATGGCACAGATTGCAAGTTTAAAGAAAATTCTCAGCTAACAATACAGATAAATATGTACGTACGTTGCTTTTTGCATTGCCTTCATTGCAGCTGCTATAGTTCTCAATGCATCTACAGTTTCGGTTGTAGCTTTAGCACCTTCTAACATTATCATCTACAGTTCGGTTGTAGCTTTAGCACCTCCTCGATCGATTTAGCGATCATTGCAGAAAAAGGAAATGATCAACAAAATACTCTTATTGATAGAAAATTTCAAGAAAAGCATATGATTTATTGATCGATCTTGAATGCAACTCGGAGTTTATAAATCTAAATATTTACAGAACATAAAGGAGATGAAGAAAGGAAAAGTAAAAGATGCTTCATGGATGGGAAGACAAGGTAGTGCTATTGCGCAGAAAAAGGCTCATTTTTAGTCCAAAGCCTTTTGAATTTATATCCCACACCGGACGCTGAAAAGAGTTAGAGCGCTGGAGAGCAGTTATAAAAGGATTGTACTAACGCCTGCGTTAAGAATTTAAGTATATATTTCTCGGCCTTTTGGCTAAGATCAAGTGTAGTGTGCTGATACATAAGCTAATGGCTCATAAGATATGAAATTTATTTTTGAGGGTGAGAACCTTATATTGTAGCTTGAGCTTGAATCGAGTTTGAGCCTCAAGTTTCAATTGAGTTTTTGAATTATTTTTTGAGTTTGAGCTTTTTCGAGTTCGAGTCGAGTTTCAATATTATCTTTCGAGTTTGTGTCGAGTTTGAAAATTTTAGACTCGCGAATTTTTGAGTCGAGTTGAGCTTATATTTAAAGTTTTTGAGTTTGAGTTGAGTTCGACAATATTTGAGCTTGACTCGACTCGTTTATAACTCTCTCAATACTTCTACAACAATTTATATAGCTTTGGGTTTGATTGAATTATTTTGGGTAAAGTAAACAAATAGTCCCTGGATGATATTTTATTGAGTCCTTAAACTATTAAAAGTTACAAAATTATAATAGGAACTCCTTTGTTTCAATCTGCAAATATATGGCCATTTAATTTGATACTATTAGTTTGGTTTTTAACTTGTTGTTTGTTGTTCCAGGTGGTGATTCTAATTGTCAAGAGTCAAATGAGAGGCTTGAAGCCGTTTAACACGAACAACTTGTTGACATTTATTTTTCTCTTCCAATATCTACCTAACCCGAGATGCTATGTGAAACTCTGACTACACCATGATGTCTATTTTTTTCGTGTGTTGGATTGATTGCATGTTCATGCTTATACTCGTTGCATGCCCATGTGATTATTTGTGTGGCATTGAGCTTGTGAGCTCAACGTTTGAAATGTGTTTTCGTCCGCGTGTTTTTAGTTGGACGGATTGAGGAGCCATCGCCAATTGTAAACTTCTAGCTTGGATTATCTTGATTAGAGTGTGTCTTGAATACTTAGTATTGGCATATACTTCACAGGGACCTTATTTGTATTAGAGTTGTAAACTTTGTTTATTAAACTTAAGTATTTTGGATTTTCACGACGGAGCTGTTATTTTGCAATTGATTTATTTTAATGTCTAACTTATGTTTATTTTTATGAGATGATTTAATCATGCTGATGGTTGTTTTAAGAAAAAATTTAGGTCAACCATTTTGGCGGTCCCGTGTAAGGTTTTAGTCCATCGATCTTCGGGTTGAATAGGATTAGGGTGTTACAACATGACTGTTGAGATTTGTAGAATTGACTTTAGGATTGATTTCTTTGCCCTTGAATTCTACACGATTGCATGTTCTTTGTGCTTAAGAGTTTTAGAAACTTTTTAAGAACTCTTGCATACCTTAATATGAATAGATTTTAGTTAATGTGAATGATAAATGAAAGCATAAATGGCTTAAGTTAAACTCCCTTGTGCGTATTGAAAATATTGAAATGTGAATAAATGTCAATGGCATACACTGTTAGGGACATTCCTCTTTGCATTGCATTGCTTGGAAAACCCTTTTAATAAATGACAGGAATAACATATGAGTGAATGAAAGTTGCCAATGATTGAGTCTGGGTTTTGTACATGATGTGCATATGCAGATTCGTACCTATATTGAAATAGGCATGGTATTGATAAAGGAAGCGTTTCGAATATAAATGATTGTTAATCGTATAAGATAGGACCGGTGCATGATATAAACTAGAGTTGAAATAGCAGTTATAGCTGGTTGCATGTTGCTGATACTAATGATATTTACATAGTCCAAGAATAAGATAGGGATGCAAGAAACTGGACTACCCTAGAAGAGATGGCTGGATGGAACAAGTGACCTAACTTCTGCTTTCATCTGTTTCGAGTTCGAGTTGAGGATATTATCTAGAGTTGAAACAGCTTCTACGATGTGTCGCCCTTTGTTCAACATAATGCAGCTTGCCCTGGAAAAATTAAGAGGAGCTTTTAATCATGCGATTTCCATGCATTTGATCATTTAAGCATCGACTTCCAGCAGGAGAAATGGGCAAAATCCACAAAATAAACATAAAGACCTTAACTGAAATCCTATTTCGAAGGGAAGTGGTATGCCTACTGCTAGTGTGTTTGTGTATATATATTAATTTAAACAAATAAATGTTCGAGAAAAGAGGTCAGATTGCTTTCAAGTTTCAAACTTGGGCAAGAACACTATACATGACAGAAGGAAATGTATTTGTAGTTTGCTATGCTCTGGTATAACAGTCAGAAGAACATTTATAAATGAAATTTGCTCTAAGGGAACATTAATAAATGAAGTTTGCTCTATGGGCACTGAAAAATGCATGTAAAGTTGGCTGCCTGTTCTGGGAGTGCCTATGTAGCTCAAACTAATTATAAATCATTAGATAAATTTCATTGATAACATACGGAAATAGCTAGGGAAATATAATTCGATCACTTGCCTCCTTCCACTTGCAACATCAGTAATCTCAGCTCTCGTCGGAACACCAGTTTTTACAAGTGATTCGAGGACCTGAGTTGCCCAAATAACTGGTACGTGAGCAGCACTGGAAATAGATAATATCTCCTCTTGTATATCAGCCAATCTTTCCCACCCACACTCCACAGCAAGATCTCCTCTGGCAATCATAACCCCTAAAGGATTTGAAGATTTCATTGCCTCCAAGAGCAAGAGGGGCAACTTCTCAAACCCACTTTTAGTTTCAATTTTTAAAACAATCCCCAGGTTCTGAAGTTTCCTTTTCTCCAGTTCTTGGCGAAGCACAATAATATCACGAGTATCTCTAATAAATGATACACCTACCATGTCTGCATGGGAAGCAACAAAATCGAGATCCACTAGATCCTTTGAAGTCACACCTTCAAACCTAACATTGCTGTCTGGGATGTTGATGGATTTCTGGGATCCAAGTTTAGTCCCTCTGAGGCCAGCATGAGTGATTGAGACAACAATCTCAGAAATACTAGTTCCATTAATGACTCCCCAAATCTTTCCATCATCAAAAGCTATACGCTCTCCAGGGTGGACTGCATCAAACAGATAGCCCGATGAACATGTTATTCTATGGACACCACTTTCGTGCCCATTGGAATTATCTTGGTCACATGTGTCATCCCGTGATATTATTAGTATATCTCCAACTCTTAGTCTGATAAATGACTCTCTAGCAGGGACATTTACCACTTTTCCAACAGGGAACTTATCTTTCTTCCTCTTAATATATAATTCTGTTCCAGAACTAACATAAGCAGTTCTAGAACACTCTGCCATAAAGCCAGTACCAGAAAAAACGTGACAGACTCTGGAGATCTTTAGCATCCTTGGCTTACCTCTAGCATCAAAGAACCTCAAAGTATCACTTACTTTGATCTCGCTCAAAAAATTTTGGTCATCAATGAATAGAACAGCGTCAGGAGATAGATGAGGAGGAGGAGCACCAGCTCCTTTATGAGAAAGCCAAACTTGTGCAGGAAAAATCACATTTCCGGTAGCATTTCTCTTGGGGGATACTTTTACAACACATGGACCAGGCTTTAGATCATCTGTGCGAAGTTTTGGTCCAGCTAAATCCATAAGAATTCGGCATGGGGCCTCCAGCATTTGAGAACTTTTCTTTACTCTTCTGATTATCTCACTCCAGCTTTCAGGGCTTCCATGAGCACAATTGATTCTGATAATTGAGGTCCTAGCCTTCATAAGATCAGGTATTAGTGTTTCACTCTCAACAGCTTCTTCTCCAACTGTTGTCATTATATGATTCAGTTTGCTACCTCGAAGCGGTCCCAATAATAACTCTCGGTTTGAAAATGCCTTCATTCTCAGTGTGTCTATTGCAAAATGCCCCTTCTTTTGTTGATATATCGTTTCCTGAGTGCAAATTTCAGCACTTACTTTCTTGTTAGTTCTAACGGACTTCAACTGTAGGTTCTCCAACAGTTCAATGCATGTGGTTAGACTGGCTAAGACACATGAATTTACCATCTCCAGATTCAGTAGACTGATCAAAGCAAGATCTTCTTTGAGTGGCTCGTTGTCAAGACATTTCAAAGCCAAATAATGGATTAAGTTTGTTGCACTCTCCATATAATTTCTGCAATGAGAAAGTCTCTGTAAATCAGAAAATGCCTGAAAATAAGAAACCTGAAGCGCATAAAAAGGTAGCTTCCAATTGAGATAGGTATCTCTTCACAAGTCACTCGACTAAGTACTTTTATGTATTTTCCATTTTCTTTGATGTTACGATTTTAAAAAACCTCATACAAATCATAAAAGACAAGCTTTGTATTTTAAGTAGAGGGGAAAATGAAATTTTGACAGATAGGTTATATAGACTGACCAATTATGCCTTATATCAGAAGAAAAAGAGAGCATGTATGTCAATCTATAAGATGATGGATTAAATTTATGCAAATAAATATATATGCAATAGATTAGTCAAAGGAAGAAAACTTTGAAAAACCAATGAAGGGTACTAGATATATGACATGACACTGGCAGTACTGCTGAAGACAAACATAAGAACAGATATAGTTCCAACTTTCAAAACATACTTGTGACATATTTTCAACCTAGAAGCATTCCACTGCTCAGACGCTAGCACATGTAAATGTACAGCCTTCAATTTGTCCAGGAGGCTAGCCAGATTTACCGAGTGTTCAACCATCTGAAAGATACCAGAACCTGATTCTGGAAGAGAACCA